CTTCATGGTGAGTTAATTATTGGTGTAGAGGAATGCTATTGGTTTTTTGTGTGTTTATTCTATATCTGAGTACATTACTGAATTTAGTTATTAATTTTAGACATATTTTGGTGAAGGTTTTTAAAAATCTTCTATGTAAAGCATCATGTCACCTACAAATAATGATAATTTGACTTCTTCCTTTCCTGGGTGTATCCTTTTCACTTCTTTCTCTTGCTTGACTCTTATGACTAATGTTTTGAATACTGTATTGAACAGGAATGATAATAGTGGACATTCTTGTCTTGTTCCTGATTTTAGAGAAAAAGCTTTCAGTTTTCCTGCATTTAATATGACGTTGACAGTAAGTTTGTCCTAAATGGCTTTTATTAGATCGAAATAAAGTCCTACTACACTTATATTCTCCAGGGTTTTTTTCATGAATGTATGTTAGATTTTGTCAAAAGCTTTTCCTGCATCTATTGAGATGATCATATGATTTTTGTCTTTGCTTCTGTTATGTGATGTATTACATTTATTGATTTGGTTATGTTGAACAATCTCTAAATCCCTGGAATGCATTCTACTTGCTCATGATGTATGATTTTTTTCAAAGATTTGTTGAATTTTATTTACTAATATCTTGTTGAGTATTTTTTTGCATCTATATTCATTAAAGAGTTGGCCTGTTGTATTCTTTTTTCAGCTGGGTCCTTGTTGAGTTGGAATCAGAGCCATGTTGGCTTTTAAGAATGATTTTGGAAGTATTCTTTGATTTTCAATTTCATTAAAATGTTTGAGAAGTGTTGGCATTAGATGTTCCCTAAAGTTCTTTTAGAACTTATAGGTGAATCTATCAGGTCTTGGGCTTTCTTAGTTGATAGATTTTTTTTTATTACTGCTTCAATTTTATTACCTATTATTGCATTGTTTTGAGCTTTTATGTTTTCTTGATTCAGTTTTGGTAATTCATGTATGTCTAGGATATTACTGAGTATTTTTGAAGTGCTGCCTTGGTGTTCATGTATCTCTTAAGATTTTTTTTTTATTATGAAATGTCCTTATTTCTCCATCAGTTTTGAAAGATTTTGTGCAGCATATATTAGTCTGGGTTGCAAGTTGTTTTTGGAGGGGAGGGGGGCCTTAAACCTTCCACTCCAGGCCCTCCTGGCCTTTAAAATTTGTGTTGAAAATCTGCCATAATCCTAATGTGTTTACCTTTATAAGTGATTCTTGGCTTTTCTCTGATAGGTTTTAAGATTCTCTTTGTGTTGGATTTTGACTGTGATATGCTGTGGAGAGTTTCTTTTTGCCCTGTAGTTATTTGTGTTCTATAAACCTCACTTACCTGCATGTTGAGTTCCCCATACTTAAAATTTTTTCTGCTATGATTTCGGTAAACAGACTTTTTATTCTATGTGTGCTGTTCTTTAGCTTCTTTCTAACTCCAATTATCTTTAGGTTAGTCTTCTTAGTGTCATCTAGTAGCTGTTGAGTAAATTTTTCTTGCTCTCATCACTGTTAAGGCTTCCCTGAGTAAATCATCATGTATCTTATCTTCACATGGTTATTTTTGCTACTTATAAATTCAATGGGATTATTTATCTCCAGGATTTGTGTTTGGTATATTTTCTGGAGTCTATTTCTTTGATAAATTTTTCCTTCATATTTTGATCTGCTTCAGTCAGCAATTCTAATTTTTTTTTTATTAGTTTCTTTCATTGCTACATTGGTCAGTGTTTGATATGTCCACTATCTTTTGTGTTGTGTCTTCTTTGAAGTTGCCAAGTTTCTTTGCTTCCTGTTCAATCATTTCATGCAGCTTGTGTTTTTGTTTTGTTTTTGTTTTGTTTTGTTTGCAGAACCAGGGATCGAACTCAGGACCTTGTGCTCAGGCAGGCGCTGGCGCCACTGAGCTAAACCTCGGGCCTTGTGTTATTGTTTATACCTAGATGTTCCCTGAAGTCTCTTGCACTCATAGGTGTGACTTTGGGAGTTGACTGGATCATGAGTGCATCATACTCATCAGCAGATCAGACCACTGATGAGTTTATAGATAAATGTGATGTTGAGAGGTAAACCCTAGGTAAAGGAGGTGGGTCCCTGGGGATGTCGCCTGGAAAGCTATATCTCCCTCTTTCCTCCCTTGATTGTTCTCAGCTTCCCACTGCCATGGCATGAGCTGCTTCTCCTCTGCCATGCTGCCCAGCCAACTATGGACTGAAATCTCTACAAACTGTGAGCCAAAATAAACCTTTCCTCCTTTATGTTGTGGATGTCAGCTACTGTGTTCCAGCAATAAGAAAGTAACTAAGGCAGCTTGGCTGACATATTCTTGGCTGAATTTGTCAAGAACTATTACTTACCACTTCAACCTATTCAATTTCATTGGGTTGGACACTGTCAAGCTTATTATTTATTACCCTTACTGTTTTAGATTGGACATCTACTGCCTTCTCCTCAACCCTAATCTTTATTTTTTTAAATTTTGAGACAAGTTGTCACTAAGTAGCTAAATTGACCATGCTGGGCTTCAATTTGCAATCCTCCTGCCTCAGCCTCTCAGATTACTGGGATTACAGGCATGTGCCACCATATTCAGAAAGCTAGTTCTTCTAATAGTACCATATGATTGTGTGGACCAGTGTGTTTCACTTGTTTGTAGCTTAGAAAGGCAGCAGGGAGAAAGCAAGGATCTAAAGGACCTCTCATTCTCTGAATTTGGTTCTAGAGCTGATTTGCATTCAGACAAATGCAATACCTGGTTTCTCGGCCCAAAATTTAGTGAGAGCTGAGAGAATTTAAGCAGAACTCTCATGTGATTCCCTTCAACTTCATGCTAAGCTCAAAACTCATCAGCTCAAACAAGGAAGAGAAATAAGATTTTAATATTCTTTTCAATGCAGCAAATATTTATGAGCTTATCACATCTTTAGGGTTGGGAAATGGGACTGTCTTGGCACAGCATTTCCAGATTTTTCAAGCAAACCCATCTTGTTAAGTTTCTGATGGGCCCTAAGATCTTCTTCCAAGACCATCACCCATTTCAAAGGAATGCATGGGCAGGTAAGAGTCTCTGGCCTTGGAAATGTTGAACCACATGGCTTTAACTACAATGCCTACTGTCTTTTCTTGGCTGAATGTCCCATGTTCTTACATTTCAGGCTGGGAACATTTCCACGGTCAATTTCTAAAAACTGTATTATTAAAAAAAAAAGTAGGGCCGGGGATTTAGCTCAGTGGTTTCGCTGCCTGCTGCTCAAGCACAAGGACCCGAGTTTGATCCCCGGTACCAAAAAAAAGTAATTCAGTTTGTTTTTATAATTTTATTAAGACACAAGTGAGAGCTAGTAAACTACATATTTTTGTTGTTGTTGTTGTTGTTGTTGTTGTTTGGTACCAGGGATGGAACTTGGGTCCTTGTGCTTACGCAGCAGGCTGCAAAACCACTGAGCTAAATCCCCAGCCCAACTACATATATTTTAAAGAACAGTTTGGTGAATTTTGACAGATGCATACTATGTCTGTGAAATCACCAAAAAGAAGATTGTGCCCTTGTCCACCAGCACTAAAAACTTCCTCGTGTCCCTTTTTAATCCATCCTTCTCCTTTCTCCCACTCATACACTGTCACTGATCTACTTTCTACCACTGCAGATTCATTTGCGGTTTTTTCTAACATTTTTATTTATTTATTTATTTAGGTATGAACTCAGGCTCTTGTGCTTTCAAGGCAGGCGGCGGAACCACTGAGCTACATCCCTGGCCCTCATTTGTGTTTTTTAAAATGGCGATTTCTATTCTAGTTTAGAACTTCTTTTCTTTTTAGCAGTTGCAAAGAATGTGATAGAAATCAGCAGGGGACAACACACTTTTTAGTATATGTGCTGCCGAAGCAAGCACAGACAACACACTTTTTAAGCCTGAGCCTTTCCTTCCTTGGGGACCCTTAAGATCACTCGTTCTTCCTGAGGAGACCAAAGTTCATTTAGTATCCATGGGCAGTACGGAAACCCAGACAATGACACTGCCTTGGTTTCTGTCACCACATAATCTTTATGAAGCCTACAATTTATTTTTTTATTTTGCGGGGGTGGTCTTTTTTTTTTGGTACCAGGGATTGAATTCCAGGCCTTGCACTTTCGAGGCAGGCGCTGGAACCACTGAGCTAAATCCCCAGTCCAAACCCTACAGTTTCAACCACACATTGGACTTAATAAACACTCCCTTGGCTAATTGAGTTCACCAAGGTTACCTACAAAATCATGTTTTGGATCCATTTTCAGATCCTAGGTTAATTTGAAGGAATGGAAGCAGATTTTCTGTTTGGAAGAATACACAATAAATTTTACAAGGGATAGATCCTTCTAGACTGGGTTTTTCTTTTACAATTTAATACTCATGATCTTTACATTTCATTTCAAAATCTTGCCAGGAATTTAAGCAGGGAGGCTTATCCTAAAATCCTCTGGCACCTGGCAGCAGAGCAATTTGCAGGCAATTTACAGCTATGTATTTGCATGATGTTCACATGGAAAGTAAGGTGTTGACTGTTGACGCAGCTACTTGGCAAAGGTGCTTGAACAACTCAATCCTTTCCAAGAATTTCTCAGGAGTCTTGGTCCCCAAGGATGAGCTACAACCTGCCAAATGCCAATCAGATTTGTAACTAGGCTCCTACCAAGTTTAGCTTTTAAAACTGTGCACATTACACACACACATAGCTATTTCTTCAGTGTTACCCGGGAATGCAACATCCCGTGGTGCTTCAGAGGAATAAATAAACCATCACCAAAGACTCAGAGTACACACTAGTAGAATGTTTTCTAGCTTGGTCCTTGTTAGGATAACAATAGTGACAGCTATAACTGTAGTGACAACCAGAATGTACCCAGGAGCAGGCGTGATGCCAAATCTTTTCATTTGCATAGTCTTGCTACATCCTTATGACAATCCTAAAAGATAAAATATCTCCCTGTTCTCATTTTGCAGTAAAGGAAATTGAGGCTTTGTGGAGTTAAGTGACTTGCCCGCAAAAGCTAGATCTGTTTACTGGTATGGCGACCCCTGGATGGGAATCTACCTGTGGTCCACCATCAGCAGGTAGGCACCAGATATTGGCAACGTCCCCCCTCTTCAGATGTCCTTGCTGGGGACCCACTGCCCTTCTCTGAGGATGTTCTGGGCTGGGGGCTGCATGAGCTGCTCAGAGTTGCCTCTGGAGTTTGCTGCCCCCACACACCCTATCCCTTTCACACTGGAGCTGTATTCACCCATGACCCTGGCCCCTTCCCTTTAAGCAGAACAACCTCATGGGACCATTTCCACTCCACAGCACCTCCTGGGATCAGTTCATGGCTAGACTTCTCCGGAAAACAGGCATTTACTCATCCTGTTTCCCTGCTGTCTCCCAGCAGGAGCCTCCTATGCTCTTTCCTAGGTTTCCTGAGAGGATGCTCCCTTGATTATGAATTTGCCCAAGAAGCCCCATCTGTGGCTCTGCTTCCAAGAAGGGCATGAAGACAGGGACAGGGGCAGGTTTAGGATGAGGGGAAAATGGGAAGGGCAGTTCTCTGGAAGCTTTTCTCTCCTTGCCAGTTCAGGAGCTCAAGAGTACTGCAAGTGGTTGCAGCTTTGGCTCACGGAGTGCAGAAGGGTAGAGCCATGGGGACTGTCAGAGGCTGGTACAGGGCTCAAATTTCAGCTTAGAGTAAAGCAGAGTGGACACTCAAAGCATTTGCCTTCCAGAGATGTGACACGTGGTAGATAATTCATGCAAGAAAAGCATTTAGGCACAGGTTCAGTTGCATGTAACTCACTGAGTAAATGAGAGGTTTTGAGATTCCTACAGAGGAAAACATACTTCCTGTCACCCAGCCTCAAACACTAAGTAGAATCAATGAAATTCTCTGGGACAGAGAATGTGATAGATCCTAACTGACTGTAGGCTGATAGGCTCAAGCCAGAGGAAGTTTAAAATAATCTTTTCAATTCAAATGGCTCAGAATCTATTGCTCCACTGGAAAATGTTGAGGAGATGGTGTGGTTTTGAGGTATGAGAAGTTGAGAGTGGGGATCTTTGGAATCTTCATTACATAGTCTATGTAGCCTCCAGGTGGGATAAAGCCAAAGCCTGTGCAGATACATTCACCTACCCAGCCCATCTGTGCTCTCTCTACTGATTCCAAGCCTCTCTCACATCTATCCCTTCCTCTCCATCCTCTGCCACGTCATTCAAATGCATTTAAGCTTGTTCAGCTCCATGTCTACATCATACCTAAACCTTCATTTGTTCATGTACTCATGTAACAATCTCTTGTTGAATGTCTACCAATGCCAGCTAGTATCCTAGGATACAAGTGAGCAAGAGGCAGCCAACAGTCTAATTCATGCCTATATTGGAGCCGCTTGAATTTCTTGTTTTCTATCTTTGTAATGCTGTTCTCCCCATGTTCAATACCTATCCCCTTCTAGGCTAGCTCACTATGCTCACCGTATCAGTCAGCTTTCCATCACTGTGACAAAATACCTGAGATCATCAACTTGAAGGAGGAAAGTATATTTTGGCTCATGATTTCAAAGGCCTCAGTGCATGGTCAACTGGCTCCTTTGCTTTTGAGACTGAAGTGATGCAGAACAGCAACACTATGGCATGAAGCATGTGGTGGGGCAAAGCTGCTCACCTTATGGTGGGAGGGGAGAGAGAGAGAGATAGAGAGAGAGACAGAGAGAGACAGAGAGACAGAGAGGGACCAGGGTCTCATATCTTATTCAAGGGCCTATACCCAGTGACCTCCCTCCCACTAGCATGCACATCCCAAAGGCACCATCACCACTCAAAGCTTTACAGGCTGCGGAACAATCCTCCAACACATGAGCTTCGGGAGAAATATTTAAAATCCAAACTATAACACTCATCTCCCTGTTCATATATTGTTTCCTCTTCAAAATCTCTTCAGACATTTTCCCCACTTCACAGGGTCAGGTGCCCTTGTTCATCCCAGTCACAGTCCTGAATGTAGATCACTGTACTGATGTATTTCTAGGTGATGAGCTCCTTGGGGGCAGCAATGTGCTGTTCCTGTAATTAACTGTCCCTTCCTTCCATCTTGTGATAAATCTAAGGATTTGAGAGTAGTGAACTCCAGCTCCCTAGGCTGGCTTCAAGTCATTCGCACTGGGACCAGGGAAGATAAGTAACTCATTTTAGCATTTCCACACTTCAGCAGACAGAGAAGAGTTCCTCATTAAGTTCATAAAAATGAGTGAATAAAAAGGTCAGAGGTGGGTGTCCTTTCTTTCAAATGAGGGATTAGGAACTATGATTATGTCACTAGAGAATAAAATTAACTCAAGGAGAAATATCACAATTATCTGAGCAAACCCAATGTGTTGCAGAAGAGTGACACCTCTTCGGTTTGGGCCAAATGGAACAAAGGTCTAGAATTCAATCACCAACCAAGGCCCAGAAGGTATGCATACCTGTCACTGGTCTCAGACCATGGCCTTACACTGCCCATTGTTCAGGCTGGAGTCAATGCCACAGTGGCCACTCCTCAGGTATTTCATTTGTTTTCCAGTAGAATGTGAATTAAGAGGTGTCTTGTTTTCCAATTTCTCAACAGTAGCAAAAACTTTGAAATTTTAAGGCAATCCCCGAGTTTTCACTAATTCAGTTGTTCTAAGCTGCTGGACCAATAAAAACACTCTGTAAGTAGCTGCCTGCAACTGGAATCAAAATCCCACCTGGAAAACTTCTCTATGGTTAATTTTTTCCCCTGAATAAATCCATAAAAACATATTTAAAAAGAAATGAACTATAGCCAAAAGAGTAAAAAACAAGAGGAACTCAGTAAGATTGAGAAACTGAGCTCTCTGACACTGGACACCTTTCCTCCGACTAGTCAAATCCAGGTTGTAGGAATGGGATGGAGGCAGGGTCTGTGTAACCAGGAGAAACTTCCTGGCTGGAAGGAGGAGCCAGGCCTGGCATCAATGATCTCGCATTAAAGTGAGAGGAAGTTCCTGTGCCTCTGCTATAGGTTGCTTCAATGAAGAGGAGCCTGGCAGGATGCAATCGGATAGCTTCCTGGTCAGAGGGCCTGCTGGACAGTATTAATTTACACGGCCTCCAAACAGGTCGGCACTCTTCCAACTATTGGGTTACATGCAAAATCCACATAAACTTCCTGGAATAACTAATAGAGGAAATTAGAAAGGAAGGAACAATCTATCAATTATCAATAGGCAGTTCACAGGAACTTGACAAATTAAGCAGTTAAAATGGGGAATAAAGATAAAAGCAATGGGATTTTAAAGCGTATTCTTCTGTGATGCAGTAGATTAAAGAACAGGTGGTTTTTCTTGCTTCTACCATAATGTGCCAAATGAAGTAAAGTTGAAGAGAGATGGATGGGAGAGTGGAATAGTAAAAAGCCAGCTTTGCCTAGCTGTGCACATCATTATAATCCAAGGAAAACAGCCTTCCATCTGAGAAGCCACCAGACTCATGAAAGCCTGGTGAAGTGTTTCCCCCATGCAGGTCCCTGTGGCCGGTGTAGCACAGCATTACACAACACTGGATCAAAAAATGAAGAGACCATTGCCTTCTCATTTATATTTCCAACTGGTATAACTGTCCCTGTAACGCCTTCCTGACATTGCAGAGGGAGTCAGGTACACTGCCTTCTGCAGGCAACTGAATCCTGCCAGAATGCCAGACTTTTGTTTTATTCTTCTTTCAGTAAAAACCATGCACATGACAAGGGCCCTATAAGATTACAGTGGAGCTGAAAATTTCTAGTGACATGAAGGTGTCATGACATAAAACATTCTTCACATATTTGTGTGACTCTGGTGTAAACAAGCCCACTGCACTGCCAGTTGTATAAAAAGAGCACGTATAATGATGTACAGTGCATAATACTTGATAATGATGATATAGGACTATGCTACAGGTTTATGTATTTACTATACTATATTATCTATCATTATTTTAGAATGTGCTCCTTCTACTTATAACCAAAAAAAGGCCTTTAAGAGCTTGCTGTCATGTTACACTAGCAGCAGCCTCATTTATCTCATGTTTACCAGGTCTCCTGATCACATCGGTGCAAAAACCATCTAAGTTTCTACACATACACTCAGTGATGTTCATACAGTGCCCAAATGGCCTACTAAGGCATCTCAGAATATATCCCACAGTTAAGCAATGTGCAACTGTGTTTATTTTTTTCAGTTGCCTTACAAAAATCACAAGTGGCACTAATTTCCATTGCAGTAGTCTCAGTTCTTTTGAAATAGGTTTACTTTAGTTGTATAAAGTAAGGTAGTTTAAAAATTTTATTCAGGAAATACAGCACTGAATTACAGGGAGGTGATCTTGAGATCCTGAGCTCCCTACAAATGCTTAGAACTCTTGGAAAGGGCTTCGGATTTCCACACTGCAAATCACTATGTTAAGATATGACATTAAAAAATAAGACATGACATCATTGACTGCTTAAAGATCAGCCAAGGAGATCATACAATAATTAAATGCATTATTTCATTTAGTTCTTCTAATTCTTTCATGTGGTTAGTAACACTTTGGAGGCCCTTTTTATATATAAAGAACCTGAAGTACAAAAAAGCTAAGTCACCATTCCCACAGAGGGAAATATTCTCCTATATTCTTCTCTAGGACTGAGTGACTTAGAGCATGAGACCTGGTAACCTGGATGCCTTTGGAGCTACAGGGAATTGGTTACCAATCTCAAGCATTCTTGTAAGGAATGAGATAATGCAGAGAAAGCTCTTGGCTTAGTGTTCTGACATGTAGCATCTCTTCCATTGCCAATGAGATATACAGGTTTTGGGAGACCCTCAATTTCATATATCTCAACTTCGTGTTAATAGGAACCTGGAAAAGGTAAATATCTTTCAAAATGTGGAGCAAGTTGCAGTAGAATTGCACTTCGGTTGAAATCCCCAGGTATCTGAGTCCAACTAGAAGTTCTTTGCCATTTCTTCCAGGACTAGGTATTGACAAGTCTTCTCAGTCTCTGGCTACATTTTCAAGGCTGAGAGGTCATCTTGAGTGCTCCAGAAGACACCAGTCAGAC